AGGATTTCTATTTAACCCTATTTTGTTTTTGTTTGGTACAAAAAAGCATTAACTGTTTACAGTGAAGTGATGAACTATATCAAGACAGAAGAATCCGCTTTGAGTTAGAAAGATTTAGAATAATTTGCTAAATTCAGTAACTTTGTTAATTTATCGAAATTTGAATTTCAACTTTTCGGATATTTTAATGTAAATAAACACTTTGAAACTGATGTATACTATGTATAAGTTTTATTAATTATGAAATGTTATTGTTCACCTTAGGAACCTTTCAGGAACATCAAACATGGTAATGAAAACAACTTTTACACAAATAGTTCTCTGCTTCCCATCTTGAAGAAATACAAAATAATTGACAAATTCATTTGGAACGAATAATTTAATGCCACATTCAAAGTCAGAGCTTGAAGGTCATGGCCAGTTGTGAGCGACCCCAGTATATTGCTTTACACCTTTTGACTCGAGAGATGTGGGTATAGTGTTATGATAGCGCGACTTCACGTTCGCACATTCCGTTCACACGCTGTTAGACTATTGTTTACAATCAACAACTTGCATATTTAGGGTAGAGATTATAAACAGATATAACAAGAATTTGATAAATAGATTGTTTACTTAGTAGTGGCAACTTTGCAAGGCTTTAACCGTGAGACACATCCCTGGTAATCACGTGATCGTGCCAACGACTGCAGCGATTGGCTGGTCGCATGTTTACTCCGTCTACGCCTTAGTGTTTTGACTTTTATTATAGAAAGTTTGTAACCTTTGTAAGGAGAGAATGGCACAGCGAGGGGTTACCTCAACTAACTGCTTGTGTGAATAAAGCTGGACTATCTGCAATGAACTAATGTGTATTCATTCGGGTTGAATCTGGTATCTCTACGTGTATGTAAGTGACATGGGCCAAGCGTGATGAAGTTCCCTGGTCTCTGAACATAACGCTAGTGTTCATGACATTAGACACAATATTTGGCACTCATATTAACAAGAAGATTTTGCATTTTAGTTGTGTTCGCATATGTCTGTGGCTTTACCACGCCGAATCAGGCACACTCTAATGGCATATGTAGACAAGATGGCAGACGAAAAAAGACGTCTGCAAAGGGTAGACGGAATAACTTCCCTTGTGCTGTTGGTTGTTCTTGCCGGGGTTAGATTTTTCGTTTATCGAATGGATGTTTGTATCTGTCAAATGGATGGTAAATCTGTATGACAAAAGCACGGCATTCTATCACAGGTACATTATACTGGCTGTTTTGCGTTTGGGAAATTCCCTCAGGAGTAAATTAAAAGCGTCGTGATACGTCACGACAAGTAACGAGTTTCGACAGTTGGTCGCCTTATTCATGTGCAAAGATGCGTACTAACTTCGTAGTCTAACAACAATAAATATTATTTCCGGGATCATATGAGATTACATCTACAAAAGAACACGAAAAGCTACTGAAATCGTTTTAATAGCACTGGTGAATGGTTGTTTACTATCAACTGAACTAACACAAGAAACTCGGTATGGTATTTCCCAATGTGCTTTGCGTCACAGCCAGCGTATATCAATCAAGTAGTTGCTTGTTTGATTTCTTTATCTCTAGATCTGTTGAATTGTACTTGGCCTAGATTACTTACAGAATCAACAATAAAAGCTGCTCTCCAAATTATCCGACCATTAAAATATATAAAAATATCGCAACAAATCATATTAAGCCTGAGTGACAACCATAACAGAAAACAGGGCTGTAAATACGATTTGAATATAACTCTGTATTGTTGAAAAACGACCTTAAATGTAACATTTACTTTGTAACTATACCCCAATAAAGCGTGTGTTGAAACCCTAAAAATAGATAATCAGAATCGTGGGCACTTTGGAGTGAAATTTTGTTTTTGCTTTTTATTATCTAAAAAGTCTTGGCTATAGACTGTTGAAATCTTGTAGAATTGTGAATAGCAGAACGAACTCAAAAAACGATTTTAAAATATAGATAACAGGTGCAAAATTATCTCTTTTGAATGCTTAGCAAGATTTAGCAAGGCTGTACATAAATAATAAAAAAAAACATGGTGAAAAAAAGAAATGACGGGATCTCCATATTATGCACTGTATTTAACTTTTTA